CCATACCAGTACAAGCACTGACCACTGGTTGACAGGTATGTGTGTAATATGATTAATACTGTTTGATATTTACCACTCCTGTTAAATCTCATAGATTGGGGATATTGCAGCTGTCTCTGAATTTAATAATGCATGCCATTTTGAATAAGATTAAAAAAATGCATATAGGCATACGAGTTCCCTGACACACCAATGTTACCACTAAGTGCATTTTCTTGTATGAGTGACATTTTTGGTTTTGGTGTGCACATACACTTTTAGCATGAATCCTATGCACTGTTTTACAAATTAAGCCCCAGGTGTATTGTTTCCACCCTATTGGAAGTGATGATTACCATGGCAGTGTTGAATGTACCTGGTGTCACTGAGGGCCACATGGGGGATGAGTAGAGGGGCCACAGGGCGGATCCGTAACACCTCCCTTATGGTGGCCTCCAGGTAGGGGAGACTGCCTCTGTCACTGAGCTGGGGTGACCGCCCCGATCCCACCTTACTGTCCAGCTCCTCCTGGATACGTCTCTGCACCTACGCAGACAGAAACACAGTCAGAAGGATCCATGGCAGTAAGTTTTTCTCTCACTTTTCATGGTTTTGAAAAGCTATGATTCATAGAATTTTACATTTAAAAATCAAACCTATTTTTTTGTGATTTTCAACCTTTAACTGAAGTGGCTATTAAATATGGGGAGACAGAGTGTGTGACGTGTAGTGAAGATTCAGGCAGCCCTGCATGAATTTCACACTTCATATACACAAATGCCATCTTTCCTGCAGCTGTGTCTCTCTAATAACGCACAGATTATTGCAGGTTGATAGCCGTGAGGGTTAATTTGAAGTGATCACTTTCATGAAATATATCAGCATGAACATTTTGTAGTATGTAGCATCTGTGACTTCACCCACAGGTTTCTGAAGTCTAGATGACCATACACTGATTTGGGGATGGCAGCCACAATGGCTAACTGTGATAGGTTGAAGTATCTGTCAGTCAGATAAAAGCTTTATAGTCTCTTAATGGTATTTCTTCTAGTCAAAACTCAGAAGTGACATCAACTATAAAATCTAAATCCTTAATTGTGGAAATGACGCTTCTCCCCTTAACTTCAATAGAGTTAGTGTGCCATCTAGTGGATTACAGAGAGACTGTAACTTAAGTCACGCAATAGTTTTCTCCAATTTCTACATTCTACATACAAAAAAGCCAGCATTAACAATATGCCAAACTCCGACTGACTGATTTACATCCATATAATCATTAGTGGATGGCACCTTGCTTCTGATTAAACCTTACTTGTGGATGATGAATGAGGAAGGTGACAGCCCATTTGAGTACAGTGGTTGTGGTTTCCACTCCGGCTCCAAAGATGTCTCCCACTGTCATGAGGAGGTGGTCTTCACTGAGGCCAACAGATTGTGCACTGACCTCTGCTGTGTTGTTGTTCTCAGCGCTGCGTTTGGCTCTCAGCAGAGCGTCCAGTAGGTCTCTCTGCACATGGTCACTATAATCTGCCTGAAGGGGTAACCATGAATAGTCTCAATTGTATTTCATTTAACAGATACATTGACTTGGTACTGCTATGGTGAGTTATATCATTATCCACAGTTTGTTTCACAATAGCAATCTTTTAGAGCAAAAACGTGGAATAGACGCTAGAGTATCTTGAGATAGATTGGTTGGATGGGTTATTGATGGCCAATGCTGTCTTTGTATTTAGTATTACAAAGTTCCTATCCAGTATTTCTCTCCCTTAATTAAGAACCAGGTAATGACACATTATAACAATTACACAGCTGTTGATTTATACAGAAACATCCTGATAAAACTGCTATAACCTAAAAATCACAAATTACAAAGACCCGTTTAGACCCAAGTATAAAATGTACTTATCCTTCATATCTGTTGAATTGTACAGTCGACTGGCCTGTGATTGACTCCATACACAAAGACAAGTATTTAAGTTGTTTTTAAAAAGAAGGTTTAATATGTTCACTAAGCTGTGGTGCACTGAATCTCAGATAGAAGAGTAAACAGTAAACAAGTCAACAGAATTAATTGAATGCTGCTTCCCCTTTCTCTTCAGACACTGACAAATGACCTTCCAGTTGTAATTTCTTGAGCATATTATATGCATTCATTGCCCTTTGCCTACTGTAGCATATCATCCATAAACCATCTCTACGTCGTTAGTGATAACACAGAGTATAGGGTATAATTTTAAAATGGGATACTTTACTTTATGTTCATCATATTTCTTCTGTAGAAGTTTGTCTCGGATTGAAACACACTGCTTTAGAAGGCACAGGTCTGCATTGGGAAACATCTGTGACAGACAGACAGACCGACATGGACTAGGTTTTATAAACAATATGATATAGTATATGGTTAGATAATTGTAGATATTTTAATGTAAATATTACTAAACTCTCAAGAAACAGTGTATTCTTCCATCCTTCATCTTTGAAATTAGTGTTGCTCCAGTCTTGAAGCACATTTTATTCAATATAAACAAATAACTACATTCATTCAAATCAGTATAACTGCGGACACAACTGTGTACCCATGATTCCACATTAAGAGAAGTTTTTACTTGCATACTGATGATGAAACACACTGATGTTAGAAAGCCCCTTTAATCATGTTTCTGTTTATCTCCTGTATGTTCTTATGTATACTCTGATTTATTTTCCTATATTAATATTGTGTGCCAAAGTTATTCCTTAGTGTTATTGTTGACTACCTGTAACCACGGGAAGATGTCAACTAGGCTGTCCTTTGCCACAGTGTCAACAATGCCCTGGCTGTAGTCCAGCATGGCCTCAAACTCTGGGTCTCCGCGGTGGTAGGAGGAGTTGAAGCAGAGCGAACAGATGACGTTGGTGACAGCACGAGTCAACTCAGGAGACAGATCCAGGGCTATTCCAGCAGCTGCTGCCTCATACAGGACAGAGCACAAAGACTGGGCCTCTGCACAGACTGAGGCAGGATACAGTGGGTGAAGGGGACAGAGCATTTTTACTTACTGACATGTTCACAATGCTTAGTTTCTAAAAATCTTATCGAAATGTTCACTTATTCCTGCAACACATTTATCCCTATGTAATGTTGCTGGATATATAGAGCACCATTGTTGAACAAAAACTATTAACTGAGCATGCGTGTGTGATTGTGAGGTGTTTGAAAGTTTATGAACTAGTGAATTTATAAATAATAAAAAACCTGTAGCAAATGTCTTACTATTTTAAGCTGCAACACACCCATTAGAGATTGATTGTTACTCAGTAAGAGTTGCATTTCAATTCTGTAATTTTTTATACAGCCACCTTCCAATGTATTATTTTTATTATATTATTATTATATTAATTTTATTTTATACATATTAATAAAGCATTTCTGATTCTGATTCTGAAATAAGTACTCAGATCATTTACTTTAGAAAAAAATAAAAATAACAAGGTAATTCAAACCCTTTACAAAAAGTACAAAGGTACTTGCAGCAAAATGTACTTTAAATGTCAAAGTAAAAGTACACATTATATAGAATGACTCTACACTCTCAGGGTGACATGAGTAGATAATGAGAGAGAGAAATTACTGTGCATGCAGTATTTGATGTTGTGGGTGGTGTAACTACTTTGTATAATGTTGGATAGTTTATAGTAAAAACAATGCATCATATTTCTGATAATATGTCTGAACTGACAGTTTTCTGTGAAGAAAAAACAATGTGAAACTAGTCTTCAAATGAATGCAGGGCAGTAAAATAATATTTCATACATATTAATTTAAATTAACTTGATGTTGAGTGAAAGGAATTTGAAAGGAGTGTAGAGGGAAGTGTACTCACTGATCTTCTCAATGGATGCAGAGCCCTCTCCAAACATGCAGAGAGCTCCATGGACTATTTTCCTGTGGAACCTCCAAGTAGCACTGTAGTCTCCAAATGCAATATCTTTCCCATCTCTGGTCAGAACATCAGTGGTCACCTTCATCACACAGGGCAGAGATAGAGAAGGAAAAAACATAAATGACACCTACTGACTAGCACAAGAAGAAGATGTTAAAGAGGAGGTATACCCACAGTTCTGGGTCTCCCTGCAAATGTCTTTCCTTTCTTCAACAGGACTTCTCTAGCGTGTCTGTGCTGGTTGACAACAATGACACTCTGGGAGCCCATCTTTAAGGAGTATGTCTGTCCATATTTCCCTTGAAGTCCTTTGAAAAGCACATGAGGAGGTTGTAGGCTTCGCAGGCTCATCAAACTGCCGATCAAGGGTAGTGTGGGAAGGTGTGGAGGCTCCTGGGGACCATGCATGGACAACCTGAGTTTTAAGTGCACTGCTAACAAAACCAGAGCCAAAAATGCACACAGACACAGAAACCAAGCCATATGCTTGACAGAGGGGTCTGGTTCAGCAGAGACCAAGCATCACAGAGAAGAGCTGTGCAGGACGGCTGAGCCACATTTTTATGCAGCTACTTCAATGCCAAATCCTTGACTCTGAATATGTGACACTCTGCCAATTCAAACAAGATAAGACAACGCTTGATTTATTCCATCCTTGCAGAAAACAATGCCAGAACAAATCCACATAATAATGTAAAAGTGTGCTCAATAGTGATGGAAAGTAACCACACTGCTGTTATTGGAGTCCAATTTTTGGTACTTTTAACAAACAGCTGTAATTAGTTTGCGAACAATTTGCACACAAAACATACAATATCAGTTATATAGATTCAGCTAAACTACATGTAAAAAAGAGGAATTAAATGAACTCCTTAAATCTTGACACAAGAATATGTCACACTATGACCTGGGCAGTTTTCTACTTTTGAGTGTCCACAGCAAGAGGGCTGTTGGGGTTTGCATGTTCTCCCTGTGTTGTTCCATGATTTGCATGTTCCTCACAGCACAGTCCGTTTGAGGTGAGCTTTATGTCAGCCATTTGATAGATTGGTTATACGCCCTCTACCTTCAAAGGATAAGTTGTATTGCCAATGGATGAAACAAATAATGATAATACTTCTCTGCTTGTCCTACATTTCAATGACAAGTAAAATGTATGGTGAAGTATTCGTTACACTGTGTTTTCACTTTTACTGAGGTAAAGGATCTAAATATACAGCTAACCTAATCTGAGCTCAGGAGGCAGACACCATCTCTAAGGTTACCTTTCAAATGTTTCTTTTTGATAAAGCTCTTATTTTATCACATGTCACTAACTTTGTGTTTTTTCAGTCCTATACTTTTCTCTCTCTTGCTCATATTCTGCAGGTGTCACTCACTGCTGCTGAATCTACAAGAGAAACTA